TATTGATATCGTAATTTCTAATATTTAAATAAAATACTTTTTTTATCTCGGTAATTGGATACCTATGACATTTTTTTGCATATTTTTTAGATAAATAATATATAAACTATCAAATTCATTAATATGTATATTTTTTTATTTCGCTGCAAAATAATAAACCTAAATAAATTGTTGATCCCTTATGAGTGGAAAGAAATTATACAGACTCTCTGAATGAATTTAATAATATGAATAGCTTGTAAACTAGATCCCATTCTATTGAAAATTTTTAAACATTGTCACATTATTTTTAGAACTCCTGGTGACACCAGGGATACTTTCTAGCATAATTATTATGCTGTGCCAACAGGTAGTGTTGTTAAATGGCTCGTTTTGAGCCGATTTTTAAAAACGGCTAACTCAATATTTCGTCCAAAAAAATATTACGCAATTCTCAAGATTTTGCTCATAGAAGGAACAAAGGTCTAGGCATATATTATTGAAATCTCGAGACTTAGGCAATATTTTTCTGGCTAAAATATTGAGTTAGCCGTTTTAAAAATCGGCTCAAAATGAGCCGTTTAACAACACTACCAACAGGTTTAGCAATTTTATTTTAAGGTTTTCATATTAATTCGATCTTTTGATGCATTGCAACTTACATTAACAGCTTTTATAATTATGATTTACTAATATTATATTTATTTTTTTACATGTTATATAATTGATAATATTATAATCTTATTATTGACCTTTCCTTTTATTGCTAGTTTTATTTAATATTTTGACTTTTTAGATTTTTTTTGACGATAATATTTTAATAATAAATAAATTCTTCTATTCGTACTCTTCTTTAATTTGTTTTATTAGTCTCCAAATATAATTCACAATTAAACAAAATAAACTAATATACGTTTAATAATTTATAAATCGCGAAAACAAAAAATAAGAATTTAATATTTTACCTTTTTTTTCCTAGGCCTTTATATCTTTTTAACCCTTCACTACAAAGGTGGAAAAAACTCCCTTAACTACAAAGGTGGGGTCTATTTTACCCCAAATTTTGATTAGCTATATCTCAGAACATATTAAAAATTGAGATCTAAAATTTTGAGTATATATTTAAAAAATATTGGAGATAATAAATACAAAATCTTAGATTAATATTTACTTCCAAAAAAAAGTTAGACAAATTTTCCTAAAGTTACTGAAATAAAATTTTCTTTTTGAGTACTTCCTTTAATTATGGTATTATCACTAAATAAAATTCAAAAAATGCAAATTTTATTAAATCAATGTTGAATAATGATAATTACATAAATTTTATAAAAAAAATATCATATATCAAAAAAAATATTAATCAGCAAATATCATGTAAAATCTTGAGATAACATTCGCGACAAATTGTATGCATATGATCTTTACAAATTAATTTTGAACAATTTAAGCAAATTAATGTTGTTTTTTTATCTTTTACCCTTGGACACTCATAACATCTTCCTTTTTTATTTATTGGAATATGTTTTTCATCAATTATGTTGAGAACATCCCCTATGTTGTTACGTAATAGTCTACATATACGAGGGTTCTCGTATCTACTGGATGGAGTTATCAGTTTCATAGCTAATAATTTTATGAATTTAGACCTTTTTATAGTCAACAAATTATTGGCTTTATAAACTATTAGTGCATTTATTATTGAAATAATCATAGTATAAAAAATGGTAAGTGGCCATCTATTTGATCTCCTAGATATGGAATATATTGAGCAAAGTTGATCCACTACATCAACTCCTGCTTTGGTTAAATTATAAAAAGTTATAATTTCTGGTTTTAACAATTCACCAGTTGTTACATCAATTTTATTATCATAATGTAGTGTTGAAAGCAACACTACATTCTTATACCTTTTTGGTATATATGAAACAATAGTAGTATTTTCTTTGAATCCAAATAAACTTGAATATATATCTCTTTTTTTATTAAAAAATAATGCAGGTAACTGCTTTTTATTCTTTTTAATAGTTCCTACTATTGTTAGGGAATGTGAAGATAATAAATAATTAGCTAATTCATAGCTAGTAAACCAATTTTTTGAAATTGGTTGAATTAGTCTTTCAACTACATCAAATGGCTTGTTTGACAATTTATATGGCCCTTCTGGCTGATTGCCAGTATATAATTCTGTTTTTAATGTATAAAAAGTTCTAGAATCAACTAAAGCATATATTTTCAGACCATATTTTGATGGTTTATTTGGCATATATTGCCTAGATAGACATTTTCCTTTGAATGCAGGAAGCATTTCATCAATAGTGACATATTGTCCAATAGAATAAGTATTATTGCAATTATCATTAAAAATATCAAAATTTTCTCTCCTATGTGTGGCTTTATCAAGTGCTTTCCTTGTATTTCTTGTATTCATATCATCAAATCTAAGCACTTTCAATAGAAATTGGAATCTATTTATATTCATAGTATATCTAAATATATCAACACCAAATCCATCTTTATTTCATAAATCTCTTATATTTTGATGACTGGATTTATAAACTACAGCTATCATTAGCAAACCAACTAAGGCATTCAATTCATTTTCATCCATTTTGGCATGATAAATAGAGTCATCTTTTTCAATGGACTCTTCACACACATCACTATCTATATTGTCATTCTCTGTCTCAGAATTATGATTGCTGTTATACAAATAATCATCATCTGACTCAAAATCTACTTCACCTATATAAATTTTATTGGTAGATATATTCTTTATAAGAAAATATTAAACTACTATAAAAATTGGGTCAAGATATCTTCAGGTTTTTTTATTACCAAGATTATAAAAGCCGTGGGGTATTATTTACCCCACCCTTGTAGTGAAGGGTTAATTTGCGCAATAAATATATATTTATTAAAAATTTCCTCCAAAAATAAATATCCAAAAAAAAAATTTTTTTTACTATAATGCTGACTCACTAAAATGACAATATTAATTTTTATAAAGATGACTTGAAAAAAGAATAATACTAATTTTGATAAAAATCACTCGACGAAATAACAATATTACATTTGATAAGAATGACTAGCAAAAAAATACATATATATAACAAGCTACACCTATCATATTAAAATGTTCTTCAGTGTATGTATCAGAGACCTGCAGAGGAATTATTTGCACGGCCAGGCCCGGTTTTAAATTTTTTAGGCCCTGCCCGGATATTTTTTAAAAAATTTTTTTACGGCCCGGATTTAATGATTTAAGGCCCGGCCCGGATTTAATGATTTAAGGCCCGGCCCGGATAAATTTAAAAAAAATTTTTTACGACCCGGCCCGGATTTAAAAATTTCAGGCCCGGCTCGGAATTTTTAGAAATATATTCTACCTGGTATATACAAAAATTCACCTATGAGGTATTTTACCATATTTTTCAGCGAGTATTATCGCTTATTATTTAAAAAATACATGAAAAAAGCTAATATTTTGAGAATATTATATTGAATTTATAAAAATTATAAAACTGTTATTTATAAAAAATGGATATTTTGAGCATATACTATATTTTTTGCATCTATAAAAATAAAACTAATATTCATAAAAATGGTAATAATATTTTGAGCATATACTATATTTTATATTGCATTTAAAAAAAATAAAACTAATATTTAATTTATAAAAATGGAAAATATTTTGAGAATATAATATATTGTATTTAATTTATAAAATAAAAATAAATCGCTATTTAAAAAAATGCATGTATAATAAATAGTATTTTGAAAATATAATCTAATTGCACAATATTAATATAATTTATTTTATAATTTTTAAATATTTTATATTACATTTATAGGTTGGTTTTTCAGGTGTAAAAAAATTTATTAATTTTCATGGATTTACCATCACATTTATGTCTTTTTAGATGTGATGTAGCATGTTTATAATTATAAGATAATATACTTGAAAAATTCTTACATTGTACGTAGCCAATGTTTTTTTTTATTTTCATCTATGATGATGTTAAATTTAGCCCATATTTCAGATTTTAAATTATTATTTGTATTTCTAAGAGAATAAATATTATTTTTAATTTTATTAATTATATCATTAGTATTTTGTGCCATGATATTCCTTTATTTGATTGTTTTGGTAAATATTCTAAAAATTTAGATATGAATTATAAAAAATATATTATTAATACTTGAATATTGGGGCTTATTTAATATATTCCTTTATTTGATTATTTTGGTAAAATATGTTGTAAAAATTTAGATATGAATTATAAAAAAATATATTTAATACTTTGAATAAATTTGCAGGAAATTAATAATTAGATCGATCTGTGGGTGTTAGGTGTGTTAACCATTACCCAATATTATATTAATCATAACTATAATATAATATTATAACCATTAACTCCTAATGTAAAAATTTTCATAAAAAATATTAAGGCCCGGCCCGGGTTTAACAATCTTAGGCCCGGCCTGGCCCGGATATATTTTAAAAAAATTGCCCGGGCTTAGGGCCGGGCCTGCAGGTCTCTGGTATGTATCAAAATTATTAATATCTAAAATCTACTTTAATTTTACATTCCTATCGGTCAATCGACATAAACGAGGAGTCAATCTTATTTCTATATCTTTAAACAGTTTATTTTAATAATATTTAAGAATATAATTAATATCAAATTCTTTGAAATTTTTAAACTAAGAGCCCATTTTATTGGTTCGGAAAGTATAATAATTTCTGCCGATAACTGAATCTTCCTGATCCAATAAAAATATTGCTACATCTTTACTCTACCATTACAAATTTTCGATTAATTATATTTTTTCATTAGTTCTATTTTCACAACTCGGTTTGATATGCTGTTCAAAAATGAGAATATCCTTTCATAGATATGATTTAATTTTTAGTTCAACATATTGTGTTATGAATTATCAAAAAATGTATATGTGCTAGTATTATTTATTTTCTATTTCATTTTCTAAAAACTAATTTTAAATATTTTTTTATATTTTAGCCCTCCATAATTTACACCAAGCCATCATGTTGTCTCAAAAAATCAAACAAAATCATGATCACCTTAGTAATTTGATATAAATTTTGTCTGCTGGACTGCAAACCCTCGTGTCTGACATTTTACAAAATAATTTTTTTGCATAAGGTTTTTCAAGAGAACGTCTTTTATATAATCATGTATGAAATAATTTTTCAAAAAATTTTTTTGTATCCTGAATTTTTTTTCAAAAACAGACACCGCGGTTAGCTATGCAGCCAACAAAAAATTTACAATATTATAAAGAATTTTTTTAAAACAAAACTACTTGCAAGTTAATCAATGAAAAGGAAAAATAGAACCTACATGGTAGGCAGAACTGGTCAGTACTGCTAATAATTGTATCCAAGATTCATCCGATACGAAACTCAATCCGATCATTAAATTTTAAAATTGACAAATTCATTATATCCAAACATCTAATTTGTTTCTTTTTAATTTAATCTTCCATAGAAATTTTTTCCACATACATTACATTAAAATTTTACAATTAATCATTTTTAATAAAAAGTATCCAAAAGAGTCATTTGGTAAATAAAACATAAATATATTTAAGGAAAAAATTAATAAAAGACATATCAAAATTTTCCCATATAGATAATTGCCAAACATTTATAAATATCAACTATAAAACAATGGTAATTGTAGGGTGCTATCGCTATTTTGTTTGAAACTAGCTAATTAGGCTACCGCTACTATAACAGCACTGTTAAAAATGGAAATTGAGTTTTATTTTTTTTATTTTTAGAAAATAATTTTGTATCATAAAATTTTTATTTGAATTTTTAAATAAATATTTTGGGAAAATAATACAATTTTGATAAGTTAAAATTGAAAAGAAAATAAAAAATTCAAAATATTTATCATCATATATATTTATCGGAATCTGTAAGTCGAAATGCTAAAAAATAATATTGAAAATAAAAATAAAGTATTTTTTTTATAATTTGAATAAACGTAGTAAATTCGTAGCCCAAAATGTGGGCTAAATTTAAAAAAAATTGAAACATTTTTTTTTGAAAATAGGGCTAAGCTTTTAATTTTTTTAACTCAAAATATATTTTTAAAAATTTAAGCAAAAAATAGATTTTTCTAGGATTAAAGAAATTATTTTATATTTTTCAATTAAATTTGGGACAGGAAGACCTAACATTTGAAAATAAATAAAGATTTTTGATGGAGCTTTTGCTGAAATAATAAATTTGCAAAGTGCTAAAAAAAGTCTTATTTAAAACATTGAGCCAAACAGATAATTAGTCCTCGAAAATCATTTATATTTTAATTAGTGAGGGATTAGTATTGTGTTTTTTTTATAATAAATTTGTATAAAGTGTTCTCTTATTGCTAACCAAAAATACAAGGCCAAAGTTTATCACAACAAGACACCAAACAATATTCAGCATCATAGGTAGATTTAGAATTGAATGACTACCTTAGAACTTAATTCATTTAATCTCTGATGATGAAATTGCGATTATTGTGACTAAGGAATTGGGAAAACAATATTATAATATTGATTCTTGTTAGGTTCTTGATTCCTGATGGTTCGTTTTTCTAGTTATGCCATTAAAAACAAAAATTTTATAAATGGATATAGAAACATATTAAATAAGTTTAGCGAAAATTGAATGAACAAATTATGGTATATTTCCATTTCAGTTGTTACTATATTTTATTAATCTGGCGAATTTCGTAAATTTTATTAGAGTGGCGATAATAGTGATTGTGCATTACTATCATCGTTTTGTTCTGAAGATGAGAAAATTTCATGAAATAAAATATTTACGTTGTGAGGGAAATCTTTATTCTCGCAAAACAATGTTGTTTACTTCAAGGAGTAGATGTACAACCCTAAAAAATCGAAAAGCGGAAAATATTTATTTTTTATATTTTCTATGCCTTCATGTTTTTTAAATGTGCATTCTTCCAGACTAAAAGATAGAAAGATTTAAAACAAGCATAGACAGATATTATATTAATTAAATGAGCGGAGGCGAACTTATTATCTAGGATTTCACTTTCTACAGTCGAAAGCAAGGCCCTATAAAAAATGCATTAGAGATATCTTTCACAGGAAGTGTAGGTCATGAAAATCCTTATGTTATGCTGGGAAATAGAAATATTGCTTTAATCAGGAAATATTTTTTATTAAGAAGCACCCCACCCCCCAAGGTATAATTATTTTCCAACCTATGATAATTTCGACAGAAATTGATCTAGCCAGCTCTGGTGGTGCCTATCCTATGAATATTAGACAGTATTTTTAGTGATCTTTTAACTAAACTTAATTATTTTGGTTTGATGAGTATTGTTTTATCTTTTGTTATTATATGCATTTAAAATCATTATTTGAGTAAGTTTTATTAAATTTAAAAATCTGATTTTGCCAGAAAAACATACCAATAAGTGTAGAATTTTTAGTAATCTGTTAAAATTCAATAACGTCTTAGCATAAAAATAGACGAAAAATAATTATTCAAAAATTAGGCATCTGCTAAGGAGCTCGGCTAATTGTCCGTCATTAATATATCGTTACATAATAAATAAATATAAAATAATTATATATTAAATTATTTTAATAAATATAAATACATAATAATTAAGGCTAGGCATATTTTTGCATAACCCTCCCGTGCTATTAGCCGAGCTCCCAGTCCCTACTTTTTGTCCAATTAGTGCTAGGCGATCTTTCGGCTAACCCTAATTAGGTTTAGCCAATTTCTAGGCTAATAACGCTACTATTACAATATGAGAAATTTTAATTTTTATAAAATTTTTTATAATTTTTCAAAATAATTTTAATGTAAATTAAAATTTATTAGAAGTTCAATATTAAATATTCTGAAATTTATAGGGTGGGTATTCTACACATATTGGAATGCATTTCAGGCAAAATCAGATTTAAAATTTAACGCAATAATTAATTATTTAAAATGATAAAAATAATACAAAATACCTATCAAACTATCGCCTTACTTTAATTTTGATTGCCTTTTTTATATGGATTTCCATTATAAATTCTTAAATACAAATAAATTTAGCAAAATCATATGAAATTCTCAGAGTAGATTCTTCGGAATAAATTTATTAAAATCACATTAAACGCGCAAAAAATTAGATCAGAGACATACAGGCCCAGCCTTAAACCCGGCTTAGGTACACGGGCAGGACCGTATTTTAATTTTTTTAAATATACCCGGGCCCAGCCTAAATTTTTTTTTAAATACACTAGCCGAACTATATATTTTAAAACCACATAGATTCATACAAGAAAAAAAGGGATAGATTAATTACATAAATTATATTTATTATTTTAATAATTTTACCGATCTCAAAATATGCTTTGGGTTTTCCATTATAATTTATAATTACAAAAAAAAATTTAAAAAAAAGGCGAGGGCTATAAATCAATATAATGGAACACGTCTAGCCTATTTTTAAATAAATAGAAATAAATGAGGGTCAGGTATTTTTTGTCCAATATTAGTATTTTTCTAAAAAACGATTGAATCTAATTATTAAAAAAAATTGAGGATACGAAACTTCATAAATGGCAATTGACGTGTTTTAGAGTTATAAAAATTTAAAAACGCTACGTTAAATATATATAGAAACGTCATTTAAGCTGGTTTTCTGAATAAGATTTGTATTTGCTAAATGAGTTACAATATAATTAGAGATATCGGTAGAAAAATATTATCAGCCAGGAACTTCCAAAATGTGACAAATTTAAGGTTCCCGATATATCTAAAATATAAAAACATAATAAAGATGAAGTGGATAAGTAGTCAAGAATTTTAATACTTTATATTAATTATATCAATCATTTGTCAAATATAAATAAATCAGTATATACGTGATCTTTAATTTATGATATTACATTCGCCCAAAAAGTTTCACGGTATTGACATGTTACGTAATAATATATTATTTTTCAATATTTATTAATATAAATTATTTTAATTGAAAATTAGATAAAAAGTTATTCGACGAATAATATATTCGAATCGTATAATTGTTTCGTTTTAGGTATAGTTGATAATAATAAAATATTTAAATATAATATCATGAACCATTCTTATCACACCTACCAAAATGTTTTACCTAAATTCCTAATATCATTTACATGGTAAGTTAATATAATAAAAGCGAAAAATTAAAAAAATGTAACTATATGTTTTTATTTTTGCATCATACTCAAAAAATAAATGACGATCAACTATATCATATATAAACCTGTGCGCCTGGTTACGCCGCCGCGCCGCTATGAAATTCGGCGGAGCGCTGGCGTTCTTTCATATTTCATACCTTTTTATTCTAATAATTGGTCAACATCACTGTTGTAATTTTTTTAAATGTCAATCAGGATTTTGATGAATTTTTTTTAATACTATTTTAAAATCATAATTATATTGACGTCATTATAGAATTCAATCAATCAAAAATCTAAAATTCCAAAAGTTACCATAATTTTACATATTTTTAAAATGGATACATGTATATTTAATAATTCTATAAATAATTTTAGTATCCTAACTCTGGATAATAAAAAATCCATGGTCTGGAAATTTTTTGCAAAAGAATTAGAGAAATCATTACTGCTCTAAGATATAAAACTGCAGATAAAATTTTTTAACGTACATCTATTTAAGCTTTATCTTTATTATTTATTTCGTAAATCAAATTTTAAACCTTATATTATAGCGTGAAGTTAGCCCTCCCTTTGATGATTCGCTGATAATATTTCCTTCACTCACGAAAAATTTCAAGTTATATTATCACTAGGGCTCTGCCGATCCACATATTTTTCTATATTTCTTCAAACCCGATCCGATATTTTTACTGATTTATTATCACCCCCGTTTGAACCAAATGTAATTAAGAAATCAATATTTTTTATGCAAAAAATCGAATTATGAATAATTTAATTTTTTTATTTCTACAATTAAGACTTAATAAAAAAAAATATATTTAATAATATATCTATTTTATGTTGGAATAATAAAATTGTAATATTTAATATATAAATTTATAATATATTAGATTTTTTTAATAAATTTGAGAGCCTTTAGATTTTCTGGGAATAAGCTTCTACGATATTGACTATCTATATCTCCTGCCGTACTGATGGCAGACTCAGATGATTCCACAGATAATGCATTTTGCAAAATTATCTTTGTCTTTTGTAAAATATTTCCATAATTCAGAAACCATATTAAAAAATTTTTTTTTATTTAAAGTATAAATAAAAAAATTGGCGTTATTTAAAAAGATTTAAAATAAATAAAACTTGGGTGTTCCTTTCTATTTTTATAAAAAAAGACTTTATCTTATAGTGAAATTATTAATTTTAATTCTCCGCAGCACTTGCAAAATTCTTTTAATTTGGCTTCCATTCAAGTTCCAACTAACAAAAGCAAACTGTCCATTACCCTACATATTAAGAATAGGTTAAATTATACAATATTTTAATGTACATAATCTCTAAATCGAGGTTATCCATAAATTCTTTTAAGATAAATGTTAATTTAGTGGGGAAAAACTTGATAATTTAGATATAAAGGGGTACTTCGTCTGGCATCTTCATCATACACACCACCCCCATTAATTTTCAAATACTCATTTAGTTGTGAAGCATCCCTCACATCAGGCAACTATAACTGGATTACCTGATGTAATTTTTCACATCTTATCCAACAAAATTTTCCCCAGAGGAAGTGAAAAAAGCAATACCTTCCAGAAGATTCTGTACATGATTTTGTAGTAGTGCAGTAAAGTAACGGCGTTAGTAACGACGTTACTTTTTTGAAGGAAAGGAACCCTATTTGTTACCTTCTTCTAAAGGTAACGGTAACGCGTTTCTTTTTTTTTGAGTAACGGTAAGGCAAAACGTTACTCGGTATTAAAATTACTTTTATTTATTTTTTAATTCTTAATATAAATAATTTAAGCCGAATTTTTTATTTTAAATTCTCTTTGTTAAATTTTCTGTCAAAATTGATATTCAATCAAAATTCAAAGTAAATATTAATAATGATATTATTATCCTTATAATTTATTTTAAGAATATTATGTCCATAGTACTTGCTTCTTCAGATGAAGATGATCTAACCCTTCCCTGGCCCCAATTTGAAATATATTTTAAACCAATAAAGAAAATTAATTGTACCAACTCTACACTTTGTAAATGTAAATTATATCCCAACGCAAATATTTCAACCTCAATGTTCAGCACTTCAAACTTTAAAAAGCATTTGAAGGTAAAAAGATAAATTAATATACAATTATTTTAAACATTCCTTTAATAATATTTTGAAAATATAAGTAGGGCTGTTCCGATATTAAGTATCCGATAGGATCGGCACCGATATTTAGCGTCTCCAAAAATATCGGATCGGGCCGATACCTGTAAAAACCGATCCGATCATTTTACTTATTTTTTTTTGTTATTTAATTTAATGTTATTTATTTTACATTATTATAATATTTCCTAAATATTTTTTTAAACAATGCAAATGCACACCCTCTAAATTTTATTCTTTTTTAAAATAGATTTATAGTATTTTAAAAGTTTTTTTATAAAAATAGAAAGGGAACACCCAAAGTTTTATTTATTTTAAATCTTTTTAAATAACTCCAATTTTATTATTTATACAAATAAAAGAATTTTTATAAATATGGTATCTGAATTATGGAAATATTTTACAAAAGACAAAGATAATTTTGTTATTTATACAAATAAAAGAATTTTTATAAATATGGTATCTGAATTATGGAAATATTTTACAAAAGACAAAGATAATTTTGCAAAATGTCTTATCTGCAGAATCATCTGAGTTTACCTTCAGTACGGCAGGGGATACCAAAAAATCGATAATTTTATATATTAAATACAATTTTATAATTCATACCAACATAAAATGAATATATCAAATATGTTTTTCTAATTATAGTCTTAATTGTAGAAATAAAAAAATTAAATTAAATGCATAATTTGATTTTTTGCATAAAAATATTGATTTCTTAATTACATTTGGTTCAAGGGAGGGGGGTGGTGAAAAAGCAATATTAATATCGAATTGGTATCAGTATCGGATCGGTTTTAAAGTAATATCCGATGAGATCGGTGAAAAATATGTGGATAGGCACAGGCCTAAATATTAGCAATTAAATTTTACTAAAGTATTGGGCTGGAAACCAACAGTAAAAACCCAAAATATTGGTGTTGGTTCAAAGTATTATATTGAGTTTTTTATTTCTTGTTTTAGTATTGCTATTGGTTTGACTATAATTGTTAATAAATTTAAAGAATAAAATATAGTAATTTTAAAAAACTTTGTTTAAATAATATATATATGAAATAATGGCATAGCCAGGATTTACCAATAACAAAATTTTACAGAGAATTTCATTATTAAACATCCCATTATTTAACCAGCTGTGTTGAGCACTAAGCGCTCTTGTTTGTCTGATCAAAATTTTGAAATCAATAGTTGCTAAAAATAAATAAAAAATTGTTACATAAAGATGTTATCTTATAATATATTATTTTTGTATAATTTTATTTATATTTAATTAAAAATTTTTTTTATAAAACGATCTTATATATTTTTTTTGTATAGTTTTATTTTATTATATATATTGTCGGAAAAAAATATTATTTTTGTATATATTAAAGTATTTTGAAATGTCGGTAACGCGCGTACCTTATTTGAAAAGGTAACGGTAAAAGCGTTCCTTTTTCCAGATGTACAGCAATTAATTCTGTTTGGAACAAAATTAATCACTTCTCCAAAACCCAACAAAGATTTATGACTAATTGCCATAGGCACCCTCTTTGGGAGATTAGTATCAAAATTAATCTCGTCTCGTATCAATGAGAAAGTCTTCAAAATTCTCACTTCAATTCAGCTACGAAGAACTAACACATCTTGGCTCACTAAGCCCTTTTCCAAACTACGAAGCCTATATCATTTGGAAAGCCTCAGTCGACGATGAATGTTAACCTCCAGCCTCCCATAAACAAAAGGATTGGGATAATCCGATGATTGTAAAGTCCGTTGATTACCTCTTTTCGACCCTGCTATCTGAAGATCATGCCTTATCAACCTCTCAACCAAGGTTCTGGATATAAATACCTAGACTCAATTCTCTCTAAAAATCTTGATTTCGAGCCGTCAAACCAAAAATTCAACTTTGCAGTTGCCATTCACTTAAATATGACAACCTCAGTTTCATATGAGTTCGCCAAATGCAAGAAGCCAGTAGGTTAAACTGATCGCATTGCATCTTTAGCAGTGCAACATAAAACGGGCTTTACCTTCACTTTACAACCCCCAGGTTTCTTTACTGATAGGAGACGACCCGAGAAATTACACAAATACCTTTGGAGAAAGGCCGATTTTTAGCTTGGGATTTCTTCTACGTTGACCCTCTCTCATTTTGAACACATAGAAGATTTTAAAACGAACAAATATATGGATATTCTTGATGAATATAAATTCGTACCAGTTGTCACTACAACTTTAATATCCTTTGGAAGCTAGGCTCTTAACCTAATTAAAAGCAGAGCCTTAAGAACTAAATCAGGCCCAAAAAAAGGCGTCAACGCATAGAAATTCAGATTATAAAATCTAATTTCATATGTTTCATTAGCTCAATCCCTGCGCAGCCGTAATAATATATATCTTTTTCCTCTTCCCTTAATTATTTAGAATTTTTTTTCTTTCTCAAATTAAGAAATATATGTACCTTATTTTTCCTCATTTATATTCGCGATTCTGATATATAAAATAATTTTTTTTCCCTTTTTTAATTATAAATTTTTGTATGAATTAAATTGATTTATCCCGAAAATTTATAAATAATAATAATCATTATTTCTCTCCTTTTTTCTGTTAATTTTTTTTTTGATATTGTTTTGTAATAATTTTTTATTTATTATTAATAATAGATTTTCATTATTTTCGTAATTATAATGTAAAAAAATGATTATTAATTAAAATTTTTAAAATTATATTTTGACTTGTTCACTTTCATTTTCTTATAATTAATAATCTTTGAGAATATGTTAAAAATTATAAATAAATGGCATAAATGAATTTAATTGTTTAAAATTTATTAACAATCCTATAGGAATCTTTGTAAATTTAAAAATGGAGTATATGAATTAAGCTGTTTAATATTTATTAAGACTTCACTTAATTTGTATTTACAATTATACAAATATCTTATATTAATTTAAACAATACACTGAACTTCAAATAAAATTCCCGGGTACGGTTCGGGGTTTTGAAAATTTTATAAACGGGGTTCGGGGTTATATTTTTTTCTTCTCCGGGTTCGGTTCCAACCCCTGCCTGGGCCATGTCGGGCCGATATATAAGTTTTAATTTTATATACAAGTTTTAATATTTTATATATAAGTTTTAATATTTTATACATATATTTTTTTATTATATTAGTCTTAATATTTTTAATATGAATTTTGCATTCTAATTTAAATATAAAAAAGCGTTAAATAAACGTATATATTAAAATGTATCTTAAAAAGTACCACATTCTTATATCTAGATACTATAAATCGGAAATTTAATATTCAAAATTCGTACTAATATTATGCTTATTTTTCTATTTTCCGGCTATTTTATTTAATATATAAGAATTAAAAACGATTTTTTGGAAATAATACCACCTTCAATTTTTATAAAAAATTTCTTGAACCAAGATCATAAAAAATATTTCCTATGCAAAAAGAATAGCTGTAAACTGGGCAAAACAAGAAACTTCTTATAGCCAAGGAGATATTTAGTGCATTATCATGAATGATCTTGTGTGTTTTATATTTCCTTGGAGGTAATCTTTTCTTTAAGTGTTTTTTTTGAATGCCACTCGTTAAACATAAACTATTTTATTTATATAGCCCCTTTTTTATCAACCAAATATGACTATAACCAGTCCCGGTTCAAGTCTAGTGTCTCAAATCATTCATGCGGTTCTGAATCCCTTGGCACTTCAAAGGAGCCTGAAGGAGATATTGAATCCATATCATCTCCCGAAGGAGATGGGTGGCTCTCTCCCGAGGAATTGACAAAACCTATTCATATCGACAGAACACAGCATATTGGTAATAATTGAAGAGTAAAAATGCTCTATTCTTTTAACGACTTTTTATTTTTTATGCATTATCTGTGGCATCATTTTATAGTATTAAAAAGAGTTCATCATAATAGGCTTTATAAATATTTTTGATATATATTTCCTAATTTTAAATTATCCTAATATAGGAGTGATAGCTTTTGTTGTAATTATTAGAATTTTGTAGCAAGGTTTTTACAATTGGATGTCCTACCCAACCCCTTTAAGTGGTTTTTACCCCCCGTCGAGGAGACGGTTATCCAATTCTATACTCAAATCATAGGGAACATTTTAGACCTCCATTAGCCACCAAAAGACGTTGCCACTCCCCCACCACGATGAGTCTGAAAATAGGATTTGAGGAGTTGTTTAGTTTATGGCAGCGAAACATGGGCAATGAAAGTGACTCACGAAGCCAAATTAGAAAGAACAGAGAAGAGGATGATTAGATGGATGTGTGGGGTAACTCTATGAGAGATAAAACTAGCAAGTAATTAGAAATGGTTTGAATGATAACACGACGAAACAACTAAGAAAGTTTGGGCATGTGGAACGTATGACCAAAAATGCCTAGAGGAAGGCCCAAGATGACAGATAAATGTGATAGCAGCGGATATGAGAAGCATGAATCTCACAAATATTGATGCTCAGGACCGTCAAAAATAGAAAAGAAAAATCAGGGGAAAAAGTGGCCTATCTGGCTAAACCTGGAAATCGCCATAAAAAGTGAAGAAGAAGAGGGGTGATAGCTTTACAATATGAAAAAGATATGGAATCTATACAAAACAGTGTTAAAATATTTTTATAAGTTCCAGTTCCGAAATTTTTGAAAGTTCTAAATTTACTAATGTTTCAAGTTTTGGGCTTTTGATTCCAAACTAGGTATAAATTGATCAGATGATTAGTTTTATTTGTAAAGGAATAAAAAATGTATAATGACTATTAAATATATGATGTGCTAAATCGAAATTAAATTTTTTTGTCTCTAGGTCCAGCCCATTGCAGTCTGTGGCCTTAATAATCCACGTTCTACTCCTACCTAAAATAGATAGTTATCTTTATAATACATAAATTATTGTATATGTATCGCCGGTACAACCATGACGATATAATTCTGGATATATTGAAGAATTTTTTTCCCAGAATTTTAAAATATTTGTATCCTTATTTATTCTCAACTTCTGAGAACTTTTCTATTAAAGATGCAATAGGAATTTTTTGATCCACCTTTCTATCAGATGATAGTTTGATTTTTCTTTTCTCTATCTAGAATTAAAATTTCAAGATTATCAATGTTGCTATCATTACAATTGTTATTACTAAAATCAGTAGGTATTATTGCTCCAGTATATTGTAAATATTTTGTGTATGCCATAAATCCTTAAGATGGTCTTTAGGCATTTGTTTTTGCTCAATACTCATAAAACTTGATATAGAGGGATTTACATGTTTTCTAATATTTCATATGAAAAAGGACTAGTAAATCTCTCTAAATCTAATCCATATGCCATTAAAATCAATTAAACATAATTTTTCTGATTGTAATCTTAATGTTATTTTAAAGGAACTAACACACTAGTAAGGTCCTTTATTTGGCACCAATCATCTTCCGATTAAATTACTTCACATGCTCCTATAATAAAATTATTACAGAAATCTTTCAAACTTAATAATCGATGCTTTAATTTTTTTACCAAAACTAATTATAAAAAAGTTGATCAACCCAAAGATTCAAATTATTGTGATCAAAAGACTCTTAACATCTGTCATACAACTACAAGCAAATTTGGTATACCAATATCTCTTATCCCCACATTAAATATGATCGATTTTGGTTCATATTCCTTGTTCAGGTTTTTCACAATTTATATTTTGGTTGTATCAAATATTTTTTAAGTCTAGTATTTATCTTATGAAAAATATTTATTACTTCTATATAAATTTAATTAAATAAAACTTAAATTAATTAGTAGAGCTGCACCGATGATATCAGGTTAAGTTATTTAATATTAGGGCTGAGCTGATATTAAATTTTATATTGGGTCAATATTTTCAAAAAACATTTGATCCCATATTATTATTGTTTTGGGTTATTTTATGATTACATATAATAATTTATATATTTTATTTTATATATAATACCAAAATTCAAATTATATTTTATAAAATCTAATTCTAAAATAAAAATTTTAAAAAATTAGATATATCGTTTTTAAAACTAATTCTCTAGATTTAATGAGGTGATTAACTTGGAGCCTAAAAAAATACTTAATCATTCTTGATATTGCACCAAATATCGCCTTGGCCATGAGAAATGAAAATTTTCAAGGTGCTTCTAGTTTTTTTCATGATTTATAGTTAATTTTTTACTCTTAGTATAGGATAAGAAATTTTATGTGATGAGAATGTCAAGGGATTGTAAACTATCCTGGTCAAACTATTCTCTGATAATTGGTAGATTCGATAATGTTTGGGGCGTGACTTATTAGATTAATTAAGATTGATCTTGGTTTCTGCCTTGACTATATAAACAGTTTCCTCCCCTTATAAGGGACCAATGTGCTGCAATTAATACAATTATGTGGTTAGACAATGTCATATCCTGGTGGTAAATCTATGGCTACTCTCACTTGTTCACTTTAAGAAATTATCAAGGTTGACTGGGAATAATCATTCATAATCTTCTAGTCTGTCGTCACACTGGAGGAGTTGTATAGACTTAAAGAGAGATTTGATAATATGTCGCATGAAAATTATCAATAAGAGGTATGATTTTTTTAGCCAGATATCATGGAATTATTTATCAATCAAGATGTGATAAAGGAAGATAATGATATAAGATGGATCGGAAAAAGATCTAGTCCACCAGATTTGCAGCCACTTGAAAAGTTAAAATCCGTTAGTTTAATATTTTATATTAAGAAGAGGAATATCTAAAAATTTTGGTATTGACATTTACGAAATAAAAATAATCTTTATGGGTAGGTTTTAAATTTTTTTATTAAAAGCTTCTTCTGACATTGAGGTATTAGCTAATGCAGAACCTATAAACTTAATTTATAGTGTGACACTGTTTTATAGCAAACTAAATCAGTGAGTTAGCTGTTTAAGAAGCAAATCTTATTGTTTTTTCTGAGGAAAAGAGTTATCCTCAAAGTATTTAATAACTTAAAAATATTAGATGATGGCCCACAGTGTTCCATCATCTATGTACTATATAGGCTAAGTTTAATTTATTTAATTGCATAAATTATTACTTTGTTCGATACCCTACTATCCTGAGTAGAGTTGTTAAACGGCTCGTTTTGAGCCAATTTTTCAATAAGGTTAACTCAATATTTTACCCAGAAAAATATTGCTGAAGCCTCGCGATTTTGATAATATATGTCTAAACCTTTGTTCCTTCTATGAGCAAAATCTTCAGGCTTGCGTAATATTTTTCTGGATAAAATATTGAGTTAGCCATTTATAAAAATCGGCTCAAAACGAGCCGTTTAACAACACTAGTCCTGAAAGTTCAACTCAATTTATAGGGGGTGCTCGCCCCATATCCTCTATGCAGCGAGATTGCGACCGGCTTTCCCCTGGCCAGCAAGTAAACTTTTAATTATTTGCAAACCCTGAATCAATATTCTTAATTTCATATTTTGTCATTTATGATACTGATACTAGTATATAAATAATGAAGTTAAATATTTTAAATAGAAAATATTTATCTATTTATTACAGCATTATATTTGTGATTGCAGAATATATATTTTAATTTACAATATCAAAGAGCTTATATATTATTGATTACGAAAATAAAATAATTTTTCAAATCAAGAATTGCAAAAGTGTTAAAAAAATTCATTACAATGTCTTATTACTCAACCAAAAACTACCCAAAGCAATATAATTCTTAGTAACTCACATTGACTAAAGGTCATGCAACTAATATAAGGCTCTGAACCAAACCATTTTTTATACTTATAATTCATAAGTAATCTTTTTATTATCCAAATTATCTAAATAAGATTATTTTAAAAAAGTATTTCATCAAATGTACCAAATCTATCAGTGATTCGGCCGACCATCTCAAAAATGAGTGAAGCATTATGTTGTAAATGTTAATAAAATATAAATTTTAGATCGCCAGCTCAACCAGATCTAAAAATATACGCCTTCAAAGTCGAAAATCGCGTAATGCGTGATTTCATTAAAATTTTTTTAAAAATGCTTAAGATAGAATTACAAATAATCAGAGTTGTTAAAAGATACTTTTTAAATGGATCTAGATACAGATACATCGTCTAAAAAGTTATCTTGATACAGATACAATTTAAAATGTATCTATGTACAGATACATTTTTTAATATACTCTTAGATAAGGTTTGAATATACCTAAATTAGGATTATATTGTGAAAATTCATGAAATGATCTAAAAAATTTATTGACTCGATATCACATTTATCGAAATATAACTAAAATACTGATTTTTAGATATTAATATAATATATGATTATTATATATCATTAATAAAATAATATAATATATGATGAAATGATTATAAATAATTATTAGATTTCAGTAATAAAATATTTTCAAAATTTTGGTCACAAAGACATCCTCGTTTATCTGTAAAGACATTTTTAGCTATACTAAAAAGTCTTTCAACAAGAGCGCTGGACGGGATTGTGGTGTTATATTTAATGAATAACATTTTTATATCAGGTTCATTTGTTTAAAATTTTTTTCAATTTAATAATGAGCTGAGAAATAGTTGCACAGTAATAAGCTGTGAACATATATTTATCTCCCTGCAGGATATCAAGTGAACTTGCTGCCGGCTTCATTAGCTAATTTAAAATAATGCCGTATATATAATTTCTATTTATAACTTACTAAACAATATTCATGAATAAAATCACATTCAATAGATAAAAATCTAGATAGTTTTATTCCATCGCAAATCTTGTCCAATTTTTCTCAAATTTAGTCTTAATAATTTTTGACATTAATTGTAAGGCATTATAAGTGGAATTCCATCTAGTTTTATTGTAACATAAAATATCGGCCAATATTGTTTTTTATAATCTCAGCTGAATTTTGAGATTTATTTTGTCTATTCCATTTATTTTGGCATTAAGACAATGTTGTGCTATATATCTAAGGAATAAAATATTATAATTAAAATTATAGTTTTACCCTCTGATATTGTTTGCACTGCAAGGCTCTATTTGCATCAGCAACAAGGATTCAATGTGTGACTGGCACAACATTGATGATTAGGTAAAATATATGATTCTAATATTCCAAAATCCTGAGCTGTAGTATAAAGACCTGATATTGATATTGGTGCAACTGTTTCTTCATCTTCCAGATCATCAATGGTTTCACTAATATTTTCAATTGGCTTGAAAACTCTATCATAAATAAGTAATATTATGTTTATATTTATAATAATTAAACCTAAAAGACTTAATAAAGTTTTTGGCATTATCAGCAATGGATTTGAGATTTTATTTTGTATGCAATAATCCTTTGCTATATCTTGTAAATTTTTTGCTATTTTATCATATGTATGACTACCAGTCATTCTTTTACAAGTCAACGCTACTCTTTCCAATGACTCCTATGTATAAAAATTAACATTTCTTAAAACTGCTCAAATAATTTGTTTCTAATTAAATTATTATACAAATAAAATGTTCTCTCCAACAATCTACTGTTGTGCATATTAACGATGGTTCTATTAGACTTTTAATGATTTCTTTCTTTTCATTCTCTCATCTTTAGAAATTCCAGCAACCACTGTCTGTCGGCAAATTATATTTTTTTATGGAGCTAATGTTTTGATCATTTTCATAAATGAAGGATTTTCAACAATTGAAAATGGCTGAATGCTATCAATAATAAACTCAGTTATTAAATATCTAAAGTGGTTTGGGTTAAAGTCTGAGGTCTCTTAGAAAAAAAATCAATGGACGATGAACCTAGTCCATATTTTCTTTAATAGATTTTTTCTCCTTCCCCTTTTTTATTTGGATTCAGAGTGTTTGATGTTTTCTCATTGTAAACTATTTAGTATCTATACTCTTAAATGTTTTACAATATTGCAAGTTGAGGTAATGCTAACTGAAATTTGCATATTTTTTGGTAGACATGGCAGAGATTTATTTTGAGATATTATTTTAAAATATGGTCTATAAATTGGCCATGGAAGAATGTCGTCATTTTCGTCATCAATATTAATCTTAAAAATTAATATAAAATAAAATACCAATTCCATTGCAATTAAATATGGCAAATTCCTTGAGATGGATTGTAATATCAGAATTTTCTTGTTATTGATAACTCGGACATAATATTTAATTAATATTTATATATTCTTTTTTATATATAAGTTTTAATATTTTACATATAATATTAAGTTATATGCTCATATGAAATAAAATAAATTTTACATTCAAGTATTTTTATTTATAATATAAAAAAACGTTTAATAGAAGTATATCAAAATATATCTTAAAAAGTATCTAAAAACAGATACAGATACCTCTAAAATAATATCTAATACAGATATAGATACTTTAATAAAAAATCTTTCTAGATACAGATACCACATTTTTATATCTAGATACTTTAACAACTTTGAAAATTAATGGTAAAAATAAAAAATTAGCATTGTTAGGAAGGGATTTTTTTGGGTGTTGAAATTCTCTAAAAATGATTATTACCTTTATATTAAACTATTTAATAAAAAATCTCGATAGCCATCTTTGTTTTTTTAATTTTATTAAAATTTTTAATATTTTTATAAAAAAAAGATAATAGATGGCGTTATATATTAAATTTTATTATAATTTAATA